GAGAAAAGACAGACGTCTCTCAAAGAGGAAGGAATTCTGCTTCCAGACTGCATCATAGAAATTGTGCCTGAGTTTCTAGCCTTCAAACTCAAAACTACAACATCTCTTGGCAAAAGTTCCAGGCTGCTAGCCTGTCTTGTGGATTTTGGACTTGCCTGCTCCCACAATTGTATGAGCCAATTCCTTAAAATAAATCTCTTTCTACATATATGCATCTGATTGGTTCTGTGCCTCTGAAGAATCCTGACTAATAAAAAAGCTATCAGAGTGATCAGAGCAGGGCATAACATGATCTGATTAACATTTTTAAATGATCACACAGATTGCTAGCAGGGATAACAGACTCTTGGTGAAAAGAGGGAAGTGGGAAAACCAGCTAGAAGACTGCTTCTGTCTTGTAGGTGTGACCTGGCAGTGGCCTGAATTTGATCAGAGGTGTTGGATTTGAGGAATATTTTGGAGGATTGTTAAACAAATCAGGTGATGAATGTGAGAGAAATAGAAAAGTCAAGACTTAAGTTTTGAGCTTGAGCAGCTATGTGAATGGTGTCCTAGTAATTAAGACACTTCTGGAAGCCTGGGCAGGGAACAGGTGTGCAGAGGAGGAAAAGTAGCTGGGGGTGGGGTGGGGAGGGATGTATTAAGGATCAAAGTTTTTATTTTGAATGCATTAGTCTCATATTGCCCGTTAGCTGTCCAAATGGAGATGTCAGGTAGAATACAAGATGCAGGGACAGGGCTGGAGATCAGCACCACTTAGGTGACCAGAGCATTGGTAGAGGTTGTGTACTGACAGCTAAGAGCACAGTCTCTGGAAACCAGACCATCTAGATTCAGATCTCAACTCCACTCCTCACAGATTGAACTTGATTGTCCTGGCCTTCTCATCTGAAAAATAAGGATGAAACTAAACATACCTTATTGAAGTGACACGGAGATTAAATTAGTTAACCTATGTAAGCATTTAGGAAGATGGCTGGATCCTACAAAGTGTGATGTCAATGTTATCTATGGTTACAATCAGAGGTCAGAGTTTGTTTGTTTGTTAGTTTTTTTGTGGCCCATCAAATCAATTGCTAGTTGGAGACAGGGGATTGGGGATTGTTTCCCAAGCATACCTACTTTGCATGGATTTTGACTGCTAGCCCAAAGAGGTCAAACTACAAACATTGGGGTGAAGCAATTTTTTTTTTGCCGGGGCAGTGAGCACTTTCAGAGCAATGAAACCCAATAAAGCTCCACTCCTTTAAATATGACCTTTGTCCGCCCTGCTTTGTTTTCTTTATTGTGCTTGTCACCTTCTCACATACCATCTATGACATGCTGATTTATTTGTTTACTTTCCGTCTCCTGAGCTCTACCTAAAAAAGCAGGGATTTTTTACTCTTTCTTTTAAACTTACTATTAGCACCTGGAAGAGTGCCTGACTCAGTCAAACTATGGGGAATAAATGATATTTCCTGGCACTTATTTTTCCTTTTCTTTGTTTCTTACCTTATTTATTCAAATATTTTTTTCACGTGAAAACCGTATCAAAAAGGAGGCTGTACATTAATATGCTTCTCTGGACCTGTGGACTTGTGCCTAATGTCAGTTTTCGTTGAGACAAACCTCATCTATGAAATGGATGTTCAGAGAAACCTGCTGATGGCAATTTCAGTTTTGTCTTTGGAAATCAATTGTGGAATTGACATATGGTCTTCTGAAAGCGATGGTACTTTACTTGCTGTTGGTTGTCCACTCTAGTTTCGCTGCCAGTCCATATGTGGGCAGCATTCCACTCCAGCTGCAAATTCTAATCACAGATTTTTGCTCAGCAATGCTTGCCAATGAGAGGCATTGAGAGCTATGCATTGTGGAAGTTGATACATGGCCCAGTCAATCTATGACTTATGAGACCTATTGCAAGTCCAAGGAACTGTATTGATTCTGCAGAATGGACTGGAAACTGACCTTCATCTCACAGAACCCTCCAACTTGCTCCTGGTCTGTTTATTCCCAATGGATCACTTACATCATGCAGCTTTGTTCCAAAATCTTTAACTTTTATTTCCCTTTACATTCCGTCATGATTTTTACCTTATGTATAAAGAGTGGACAAATTGATGTCTTTATTTAGCACGAAAGCTTCAGTCTTGTTTCAATGTCAGCTATTCAGAGGCAGTTAATGTTATCTTCTCTCACTGCATGGGTTTAGTACACAGACACTATTTCCTTGGAAATGCAGACATTGTGTCAAAATAAGGTACATTTGATCCCTACACTACTTGTGCCAGCAATTATTAATGATCATCCTTAGAGTATTGTATTACTAGTAGTCTTTTAAAAATATTTCCCTAGTCTCTTGATTAGATTAATCTTAATATTAAGACTGTTGCCTAATTTCTCACTGTGGTTTTACCAGCCAGCACATTATTGTACAGGGAGTTCAACAAATGATGGGCAAGGTGAGTTAAATATTCATTCCTGAGGCTGTTTGGGAAGGGACATTGACTGTCTGCTGCTCTCAGGTTTTCCTTTTATCTATAGAATGGATGAGAAGCTGAAATAGGGATTTCCTCTTCAGCCATTCTCTTTGTTCTTGAGATGCAGGTGTGGACTGCACTTCAAGATACCACCTAGAAAACATAACCAGTTCCCCGATTAGGTTATGATCCCTTCGTTGCGCCTTTGAATTCCGAGCATATTTTATTTCATTGGAGGATGGCCATTACATTCTAATAACTAAAATTATAAGATATTCTAGACAGAAGGAAGCTTATAATTCTACCGGAGAATGTTCATTATGCAGACAAGTAACGAGGACTGAGAATTTCAGAACTTACTGCAGGCCACAGGGCCATCAGCTTATCTGGGACGAAAGTCCATGGCTCCTGAGCTCTACCACAGTATTACAGCTTTTTTGGAGGTAGTTACTCATTTCTCCTGGGCATTTATTTAAGGTAGAACATTTAACACAAGTCTGCCTTCTTTGTCAGAGGTGACTGGTTGTTCCCACTGCAGTCACAGGGAGGTCAGTCTGTGAGCGTGCGTCTGAAAAACACACACCGACTACTTTCTTGTGGCTGCTTTACTCAGAGTTGTCACATTATTACCAGGTCTTTCCTGTTGCTATATTCAGTTCACCTGAGGGGAGAAAATTGAACTGAGCAATGGAAGATATGTGGACAATCAAAAAAAAAAAAAAATTAAATAAACATTTTTTCCCCTAAGGTGGAAAGGAAGGTGAAGGTGTCAAATAAAACCTTCTAAGAATAATGCTTCCTTCAAAATAAATGTCATAGCCCTCGTCTTGACTTTGTTATGTCAATACTATTTTATGCGTACTGCACGACCTGCAGAGCTGATGCTACTTCCAAGGGTGAGGAACCTCCCTTTGTTATCTGCCAGTAGAGCTACCAATTCTCTACGTGTGAATGGAATGGCAATACTTTTATTATTAAGCAAGTATATGAGTTTATTATCCAGCATGTCAAATAAAAACTGCTAGGGGGAAAAAGAAGAAAAGGTAGTCTTGGTGACAGGTGAAAACTTTACTCATAGGAACATCTGAGTTTAAACATAGTTTCTGAGTTTGCAAGTTATATACTAAATCGCACCACCATATGGAGCAGATGTAGGCAAAGCCACAAACGCTAAGAAAATGAGGTCACAATTGTGGAAAGGAGACATTTTCCCCCTTTTTACATGCGCTTCGTTATATGCAGATTGCTCCAACGTAAAGGGATACATATTGAACCCATTTTCTATAATTTAACTGAATTACAACGTTCATCTTTATATATAGCTAGAAAGAATTCAGACATAAGAAAGGGTATCTATTAGCTCTTTTTTTTTTTTTTTTTTGAAATGGAGCCTTGCTCTGTCACCCAGGCTGGAGTGAAATGGCGCGATCTTGGCTCACTGCAACCTCTGCCTCCCTGGTTCAAGCCATTCTCCTGCCTCAGCCTCCCAAGAAGCTGGCACTACAGGTGCCTGCCACCACGCCCAGCTCAGCTAATTTTTGTATTTTTAGTAGAGACGGTGTTTCACCGTATTGGCCAGGATGTTCTCGAACTCCTGACCTTATGATCTGCCTGCCTTAGCCTCCCAAAATGCTGGGATTACAGGCATGAGCCACCAAGCCCAGCCTAGCTCTGTTTCTTAACATGAAAACAAAATCTTTGCATACAATTTTAATAGCAATTCAACTGGTAGCAGATCAGGTAACAAACTGTTTATTTAAAACCTATTTTACTTTAAAGATGAATCTTCCGTTCTCCTCTCCACTCCCTTTATAATGTTCATCCATTAATTCCCTCATTCAATAAAATTATTTGGCATGAATTGAAGATGTTTTTGAAGCACCTTTCCTGGAAGTAATCAACACGAAGAGTTATTGCTGTGTTCTCTCACCTTTTTTACTTTGTGACAAAATAGAAACATAGAATTGGACCCTTTGAGGAGGATTGACAGCTGCAGTGGTGACAAAAGCTGATCTTCCTGGAGGAACAGGGTCTAAGTCACACCATTCAGATGTCTGCCAAATTTCAGATGCTAAAATGACAGTACAAGGGAAAATGATAGCCCTTGTGGATTTACACTGATTTTCTGTGCATAATAATGGACAGAATTGTTTGCAGATTGCTCTTTATTTTGGAGCAATCTGCATACAACCGGGGAAAGGAGAGGAAAGAGTCTGAAAACGCTGCAGCAGTGAGATACCCTATACGTAGACGACAAAGTCCTTCTCATAATTGTGTGGTAGGCAGAATAACGACCCTCCACAGATGTTCACACCCTGATTCCTGGAACCTGTGAATACGTTACCATCCGTGGCAAAGGGAACTTTGAAGATGTGATCAAGGGGATGCACCTTGAGCGAAGGAGCATAGCCTGGATTATACAGGTGCATCTAATCTAATCACACCCATCCGTAAAAGTGAAACACCTTTTCCTGGTTTGGTCATAAAGAGGTGCAATAAAAACCGAGGGGAGAAGTTCGAGGTGTGGGAGGGATTTGCTATTACTCCCTTTAGAGATGGAGGAACGGGGGAGACCAGCCAAGGAATGTGGGTACCCTATAGAGGCTGGGAACAGCTTTCAGCCGACTGTTGTTATGGAAATGGAAGTCTTAGTTCTACAACCATAAGGAAGTGAATTCCACCAACAACCTGTATGAGCAAGGAGAAATCTGTCCAGCCTCCAGAAAAGAATACAGCCCTTCCAATACCTTTACTGTATCCTGGTGACACCGGCATCAGACTTCGGACCTGCAAAACTGTAAGTCCCTATATTCGCTGTGTAATTTGTTACAGCAGCATTAGAACATGGATACAAATGGTTACAGATCAAGAGACGTCTCATTTGGGTAGGTGGAATAAAGCAATGCTACATTTGCCCTTACATCTTGAAAACAAGCATTGACAATTTAGGCAAACGTCCAGATTAAAACAATGAATAAAAGGGCACATCTACACAATAGCCAGAATTGTTATTTATTACCAGAGAATAGAGCTTTTCGTTTTCAGACAGGCCTAGGAGGTATGAGACACAGCCTTTTTGTTGAGGTGTTTTAAAAAATAATTTGCAAATTTTGTTAGTGAATGATTCCTCTTCTTGTTTCTGGGTAAATGTCATATGTAAATATATTCATTGTAATCACTCACACTTCTTGAGGCACCCAGCAATTAGGTTAATTTGTACCAATTCCTTTGCTTTTTATCTCCATAGTTAATTGAATCTTCTGCAAAACTCAGTGCTTGAATATAGCCCTTTAGCTCACTTACTTTTAGTTAGCTATTTCTCCTTCTCTTGGGTCTTCTTTTTGGGGATCCTGAGGATCTCCTAGTTGTACATTAAGACTTTGCATTGAAGGTCCTCCTGAATGTGCAAAACTGTAAGTGTACTCAGGCCTCACACAGAGATGTAACATTAGGACTCAGGGACATTTGTTCTGTCTGGTGGTGCCTGGATCATTGCTTAGGTTTAAATTGTATTGTAATTTTACTTGTTCAAAATACGATTTCTTTTTTTCAGCATATAAATTACTTAAAGAGGCAGAATCTGAGAATCAAAAGTTACACATACACAGATAGGCCTAGTGTGGTCCATCCTGTATGATACAGGCTTTTTAGTAGGCACAAGCTGTTGTGTTTGTGCCTCTGTGTTATGTTGTGTACAAGTGAGACGGACCCATTCGTCCTTAGGTTCAGGCCACACCATCTTAGGTCTACTGGGGACGGAATTGTGTCTGCCATCCCCCAACTCATATGTTAGAGCCGTAATCTCTGACTTCTGGAAGCAGTCAGAGAAAGGAAGCAGGGTTCCTTTTCTGTAAGCAGGGTCTATAAGGAGGTAACTGAGCTTAAGTGAGGCCAGAAGCAGGTGGTCCTAATCCTGTAGGTCTGGTGTCCTTTTAAGAAGAGAGAGAGATGAGAGAGAGCCCTCTCATTCTCTCTTCATACTTGCAACAGAAAGACAACGTGAGAAAACAGTGAGAACGTGGCTATCTGCAAACCAGGAAGAGAAGTCTCACCAGAAATTGAATTTACCAGCACCTTGACCATGTACCTCTGGCTTCCAGAACGGCGAGAAAATAAATTTCTATTGTTTAAGCCGCGCATTCTTAAATATGGTGTTTGTTAGAGCATTTCTATCAGACTAATATTAAGCCACTTCCAGGGGTTTTCATTTCATCCTAGGAAGCCCTTGATGCAAATTAAGCTTGGGAAGGTGGCACCATCCAATTTACATTGGAAAGCAAACATTTCTGGCTGTTGTATAAAACATAACTTAAAAGTGGAGACTGGAATGAAAGTGGACAATCAGCTGAGAAGATACTATTGCGTTCTGTGTAAGAGACAATGGCATTTTTCATATTTGTGTGAGGCAAAAATTATAACTAAATTTTTCAGTTTATAAAGTATGAAGATGGAATATGTATCACAGAAACAGCACAAAGAGTAGTGACTGGAGGTTAGTAGACATATGCTATTGAACATTCATGCATTTTCTGTGAGATGGCACAATATTAACATTATAATTAAAATTTTATTATTTGTAATGTAACCTCTAAGTTATTATGAAAAAGATGCAAAGATACATAGCCAAAATGCCAATAAAGGAAATTAAATGAAGTATCAAAAATATTTGATTAACTCAAAATGAGGCAGAAGAGACAGAGAAGAGAGAAACAGATGGGACAATTAGAAATCAAATAGTAAAATGATAAACCAAAATCAAACTATAGCTAAAGTTATCTTTAATGTAAATGCGGTGAATATGCCAGCTGCAACGTTAAAATTGTCAGATAGTAGGAAAAAAGGAAGATCTAATTAAATACTATCTACAGAGACATTCTGTCATAATAAAATCAGAGGAAGAGTGATAACAAAGGATGAAAAATGATCCGCCATGCAAACAATAAACATGAAAAAGACAGAAGGGCTATATTAATATCAGAAAAGGTAGACCTCAAGACGAGGAAGAGTGCTATAGATAAAGAGGTACATTTTTAAATGAAGAAATTCTATTCATTACAAAGACATAATAATAATTGCTATATATGTGCCTAATGCTAAAACTTCAGATTCTATGAAGCAAAAATAGAATTACAAGGAAAATAGAAAATTAGACGTAGACATATTCACATGTCCTCTCAGTAATTTATAACAATGACTACATTAAAATATTAGTCAAAGAGTAGAAGTTATGAGTAGTACTATCAACCTCCTTGATCTTACTGACATTTATAAAATATGACATCCTATAAGTAGAATACACATTATTTTCAAGTGACATGGAGCTTTCAAGAGATAGATGGTGAGCCATAAAACAAATCTCAAGGAGTATAAATTGATACAACAACTTCGGAAACTATATGGAAGTATCTATTAAAGCTAAACTTAGGCCTACCCTATGTTCCAACAAACCCATTCATAGGTATACACCACCGAGAAGTGAGTTCACCCAAAGGTGAATACAAATTATCTACAGCAATTTTATTCATTACACCTTAAATCTAGAAAGTCCATCAACAGGAAAATAGATACATTGTGTATTCATATAAGGGAATAATAAACTGTTTGCTGTGCATAATAAAATGGAAGAATCTCACAGATATAATAATGGGCTCAGGAATCCAGTCATGAATCTGGTCATACTGTATGACTCCATGGATATGAAGTTCAAGAATAGCCAAAACTAATCAACAGTAATTGAGGGCAGAAGACTGAAGAGTTACTAATTATTGGAGTAGAAAACATTGTCTAGGAAGGGCACAAAGGATCATTCTCCATGATGACAATTTGCGGGTTATTTGGGTGACTGTAACGCTTAACCTAAATGTAAGTTAAGTCCCAATTGAAGCAACTGACTGTTTAGGTAACAAACACTTGGTTTCAGAGGCTCAGCCTTTGCCCAATACCACCAGCTTTATAATCAAGATATGTCATAAGAACCTTGATTTTCCAGTCAACATTTTTAGGAGCTCCCAAATGATGCAAAAGTAGAATTGGATATAATTTCCTTCCCAGATTCATTATTTCCACGTCTGATGACTTGAAATGTGTAATCCTTTAGATAGGAGTTTGCAAACAGGTGAGCTTTGTACCAACTATATAAAGAAAATTTCTAGAGCAAATTGTTGACTGAGTCAATCCTGCAATGAGAATATGGAATGACTTAAAAATATAAATGATTTTGAACACTGTGGGAGCAATTACCACAAACTGATGTGCTAATGGTATGTTATACCAGTTTGGTTTTAGATGGGCAAAACTTTTTGGCTAGTTGAAGTTATGGTGAAGTTGTGGAAAAAAAAAATGTTTTTCTTTGACAGTACTTCCTCCTTTTCACACATTTCCTTCCATTAGCCTCTCCTTCCTTTCTTCCCTCCCTGTTATTCCAGGTATGCCGAGTAGGAGGCACCTCTTTTGCAGTAGCCTAGACAAGCTTGAGCACCTCTGCATGGAAACTTTTGATAGAGAGTTACAGATTGTAAGTTTTTTTAGTTGCCACAGCTGTAGGGACATTAAAGATGTCTTATATACATACACATGTGTTAGCTTAGCCAGTGGAAAGTGCTGGAGTTTGACCTGACTTTAAACAGAGGCTCTAGTACTTGGTAGTTGTGCAAAGTTGGGCAAGTTACTAAAACTCTCTGAGCCTCAGTTTCCTGATCTGTAAAATGTAATTGATAATCATTGGCTCATAGGGTCATTGTGCTATTGTTATTGTGATAGGACTATCTAGAATGGTGTCAGGCTTATTGTAGGGGCTCAATAAATGATGGTTTTATTATTTTATGATGATAATCCCGCTGTTGCTCCTGGTGAAATTATACTTAGTGGAATTCGGACCTCCTCCCTTCACAAATACAGGCAGAAACATAAATACACAGTTACATAAAATTAAATGAATTCTTTTGTTTCTTTCTGAATAATGGGGCTTATCAATTCTTCGTAAAGCACTTTGGATTCTGGAGCTACATCTCTAAAGAAGTCTAATGACTAAATACAATTTAAATGCCATTAGTAGTTCACATAATTATCATAAAGTGCCAGAGAGATATTTTGAATATCAATAAATTGAGCCATCTTTTTTTACTTTCTGTAAGATTTCTATTGAGATGTTAACAGAGAGAAAATCAATAAAAATATTGTATATAATTTATTTTCATTTTAATTTTTTAAAATCCCACCTTGCTTAGTTCAGAAAGATGTGACCAGAAGGAAGTTTTAGAGTAGTTTATTATCCTTTAGAGTCAGCTTTGTGAATTACCTAATTACTCTCAACCTTGGTGCTATTGACATTCTGCACCATCACTATAGAAAAGCTCATGTGTGGCATGTGTACAACGTAGTTTAATCTGACATTCTTTTTTAATGTCTAAAAAATTTAGGGACCATTGTAAAAATAATTGGCATGGAAATGCAAAGTGTTTTTCTCTTGTTAAATAACTATATTACACTTATACAAAGCATACTGAGAAGGAGCTGGGAAGATAGTATAGAGGATTACTGTGAAATAAGATGAATATATATTGAATATTAACTCTCCATGATCATCATCAGTGAAAGGGATGATGGGATAGCAAAGAGAAAATGGTGTGAAATGCTTAGGTCTGTTTGAAAGAAGTAGAAGTTAGATTCAAGTGAAACAAGGGCTCCAGTTTATTACTATTTAAGCTGTGCAAAAAGTGTTAAGCGTTTTACATGTACTGTCTTACAAAATTCTTCAGTGCCCCTGAGAGCAGGTGTTCAATGGAAAATACAATTGAT